ATCTTATCCATGAGTTACGGAAACACTGATCCTTGGAGAGAAAAATTTATCCAAGGTCTTGGATTGCTTATGTGGTAGACCTTGGGTTTGAACATTGCCTTTTTTTCTGATCTCAAAGCCTCTCTTTTCATTACATACTAACTACAATGAAGTATATTTTACAATTCATTTTTCTGGTTTTAGAAATTTCATTCGAACAAAAGAAAATTTCCTCCCAATTCTCATTTTGTGTACACAGCATTTGTCTGACCTACCTTCTCTAGCAGCCCTAAATCTATTCATGACTGTAACAATCTATAATGTTATAGTCATAATTGTAAAATAATTATGCATACCTTCTATAGGCATTTGGAAACTTTCCAAAATCTCTTACCGTCATTATTTGATATGCCCAGAATAGCTGTTGCTGTAAACTGTTTTGTTTTTCTAGGGAGTGGGGAGTGAGAGAGAGAGATTTAGTTATTAACCAGAGATTGTTTTTACTGGGTATTTGCCTCCAGATATTCTTTTTGGCTTTATCTTTTGAAATGAATCGTTCCTGTTAGGCACATTTTAAAAGATTAAGACTAAGACGAAGAAACCGAGATACATGTCATAATCATGATGGAGGATCTTTAAAAGCATTCTTCTACAGTTTAGACATTGAGGATATTTAAGTGTTGTTTCAAATAATTTCTTCAAAGTATATATTACCTCATCATTTTACTTTGTGTAGTTTTTATCAGTTGTAGAGAATATTTTAATGGTGATCAAATTTGAAAACTTGAATACAAGATATGCCCACCTTTCCATGTAAATACTACATTTTTTGTTAAGAAATGCTGATGTTGCGGTTTAATCAAGATGTTTCTTATTTATAATAACATTTTCAAAACAAGGCCTATTATGACATTTTAAAGAAGCTACTTTTTCAAATTTGGGTAGTTTTGACTCATATAATCACTAGAAGGTGCATTTATATTCGTAAGGGCTATAATTCGTTATGTGTTTTTGCAGATTTTCCTAGGACATATTGAATTTATGTTTTTTAAAATCATTACATCTCGGGGCTGGGAAGGTGGCTCAGTGATAAAGTGCTTGCCTTGCATGCATGAGGCCCTGGGTTCGATTCCTCAGCACCACATAAGCAAAAAAAAAAAGTGAATAAAAAAATAAAATCATTACATCTAGACAAGGGTAAGTGCTATTTCTTAGCTGGTGCAAACTAGCCATTTTACCAAGTGCTTTATATTTTTATAAAATACAGAAGCACACTGACTAGGTTTAAAATTGAGTAAATAAAAATCACTGAAAAGGTAGATTATTTAAGTCATTTAACTATTCTACGTTTTGAAATATTTGACGCGTCTATGGTTGCTTCACAAAGGTGACATTATTTTGCATTAATAAATGAAATTTTTGTACTTGAAGCCCGAAGGTTAAAGCAAAACCGGCCGTTCGCACGTAGCCCCGCCCCTAAGGAAAGGGAGTGGGCGGGGCCTGGAAGAGAGGGGCGGGGTCTTCCGCGGGAGGGGCGGGGCCGACCTCGGAGCGGGCCGGTTTATAGGTCACGCCGAAGGTCGGCGGCGCGCTGGCAGTCCGCTCGGAGCAACAACACACCCGGCCCGTCCGGCGCCCCTTAGCGTCAGCGCGGCGACCCCCCGTCTCCCCGCCCTCTGGGGGACCGCCGCCCGGTGGTCCGCCTCGCTTCCGGCAGCTCCCACACACCCGGGGCTATGGCCGCCGCTGGGGGCGCCC